ACCAGTACCAATTTGCCGTCAAAAACGAGTCGTGAATGGATTGGTTGTCTCACTGACGGAGTCAGATCTTCGACCTACTGCACGACAGCATTGTTATTCCGCTGCGCCATAGGTGTTTGTATCGGGCGCAAAAACACTAGCTTCAGAAATGCGACTAACGCTGAAAACCGACCTGATTATCGTAATCGCCTCCTTTCGCGGTTCGAATGTAATCTTTGGCGACATCATATCTTTGCCATAATTTGTGATCGCTTTGATAAACGCGATAGTTTCGATTGATCCATCGATTTGCTAATTCGAATGCTTTTTGTTGCATGCTGCAACGAGTTAAGGCATGTTAAACTTATTCAAAATTTAACTTGTGGTCTTGCTCTGTAACAGTACTATAAAGCCGTAATTTATAGCAAAAACTGGTCATACACTGGATGATTGGATTTGCGCAAACCCTCGATAACCATGTGATTGATTGGAGCAAAGCCGTTCGGATAATCCCAAAGCTGATTCGAGCTCCTTATCAAACTGCAAACCAATACTTCATTCGGGCAAATTTTATAGCCCGGTAGCTGTAAAAATTTGCTATCCCCCAAAATAATTCCAAAAAAAATTTCTAATTCCAGATTTTTTCCTTCCCACACCTACATACTTCACTGCATTTCTCATGTTTTTTGTGTTGGCTACCATTAGCCACACGCACATGGAGGAGCAGCAGTTAAGCCGCTCCACCACATGTAGCGTGCTTCTTAAGAGCATTACATGCTTGGCCGTAAAACCATCGTCATGATACTTTTCTATATAACGTTTACTGCTCATACTTCTCTACAAGTATACTTGTTAGCTGTCTTACCTCAGTTCTTAAACACTGCTTTATAATCAGTTATTGCAGTGCAAATCTTATTCTCCCAAATATAATTGGGCTTTCCTATCGATCACCCCAACAAAGTCATTTGAACCATTCATATCATTCTAGCCTAACATTTTGATCTTTCCTGACTGGGCTGAAAATTGCTGACTGACGATCAACATCAGTTTTTTTGGCGTGCTTAATTCTATATAAACACGGATCCGTCCGCAGTCCTCAGTTTTTCCAACTCATCGTCGTCATCATCATCGCCATTGCCCCGACGTCTTCCCGATCACTTACCCGCCTGTCCCCTTCTACTGCGCTATATATCCTTCTGCAGCTCTATTCTCTACGGCACTTTTTGCTCGTTTATTATTTCACACTTTCGCATGTTACCAGCTCAGCACTTTATGCCCTTTTCATAACAATAATTCGTATCTTGCGACAATGCCACTTAAAGTCCTGACCCTATAATAGTGAATTCAATCTTTTTCAGTCCATGCCCAAAAAAAACTCTCTATTCCTTACTTGCGACGCAAGTTGCACTGGGACGCCTTTTCCGCACGTAACAACATATGTCACATTACATATCAATCATACTTCCTAACATACGCAAATACCACTTTCTCTTACGTGTGCCTATGAATGGGATTTAGCACATTTTCTCATTAAATCTGTAACTCACTTTTCATTCCATCCCTCTTACCATCCTACATATGCTCATTTTACGTTAGATAGATTCCCACCTCTGGACCGCTAATGGTTTTGGAAGCTCCTCCACTGGTTACCAGTTGAAAGGTTGCCAGAGAGGGAAACCTGGCGCCGCTTGGCTCTGGAGGGGTAATTTGGGTACTGGTCATAGTCCGATAGGAAGTAGTCTTGCCCAGCTGCACGATTTCTAAAAGGGTTTATGCCTTTGGCAAGACGCATTCCTTTTTGTTAAGGTCAGCAAACCAAAAAAATCATAGTGTAAACCAAGTTATTTCATATAATAGACCGTCCACGGTTGTCTCAGCTGAACAATCGAGTGTTTATGGCTTAAAACACCTTTTCCGCACTGATTTACATGGTCGCATTTTTAGAATTACTGAAACTAATAATAACATTCGCTGTTACACACATTCCTGCGGCGGCAACTGTATATGCCGCCATATGATTCTTTCTAACGGATTGGTGCAATTCTCCGTCGCCGGCTCTCGTTTGTTCCTCTTTTGCAATCCCGATGGTGTGCTTAGTTGCAAGAAAGCAAATATAATTTACGTAATTACGTGCAGGGCATGTGGTATACAATACGTAGGTCAAACCAAGTGAACTCTAAAAACTCGTACAAGAGAACACAGATATAACGTTGTCTGCAAAACAAACACAGTCCTTTACAATCACTACCAGTTGCCAGGGCATGGACTAGATTCCATGGGCATTGAAATCGTCGAATGTGTTGTCAGTTCTACTAGTAGCTTACTTCAGCACGAGAATTTCTGGATACATACACTTAATACAGCTTATCCTTTTGGACTTAACGATTGCATCATGGCTTGCGGCAACATATCCGAAGGATTGCTTCCATTAATTATGGGCAAAAATCCATATTTCCAAGTACCGCTACCTCGAAAGCGCCGAAGACACAGAGCACGAAAGAATGAACTAGTTAACCAAGAAGTGTTATTTCGCGCTTACTTGTAACGTTGATACTCCCCAGGCTATTCGACTTCTACTTAATAAACTCTATAGTTCGAACAACAGTACTCTTAGGATGCTCCGTCAGCGCGTTGCTACTGAAGTACTGCCTTTTTTAAAAACATGCATTTTGCAAGGTTTCTTACTTTTCCGACTCAAAACCTCCTCCGCAGATAGACATCGTGACAACACTTTCTATTTCACTATTTCTTAGCCGGGAAACGCCTTCGTCGATCTCAGATTAGGCTCCTTTTTCCATGATATTACAGCAAAGCGTTTATTTCCCATATATCCTTTCTCCCGTATCACTGTCAGTTTCAAATATCAAAATCCTATAAGCTGCTGCATTATGAACTATGCCACCTTTCTTAGACGTCTCAATGGTATACCAGTGGAGCTTGCTAAATTACTTTTTTCACTTTGCTAATGCGTACACTTAGCTTTTCTGTATGAATCTGCCGGCACATTGTAACAGGTAATTTAGACATTATCCGTAACCTACAATTAAGGGACGTAATTGTTGGGAGAAAT